CAGTCCCCTGGGATAGAATTGTTGTTCATCGTTATCTCCAGCAGTCTCGCAAGGTACGCAATCATTGCTTCCCCACCTAACTTTAAAATTTCCCCGGGAATGCCATCTGGTCTGACGGATTTATTTCTCCCGATTGCTGATATCCGTTTCCTTATGATATTGATACTAATGGTAAACGTTTTATCTGAATCTGTTGATTGGATTAGCTGGTTATTTAGCGAATTTATCCGTCCGCAACTGACTATACTGGCTTCTCACCGCAGACGCCCAGACTTTACCCCGAGAGACTTCAAATTCGTGTTGGATTACGTTACACTGATGAAGAGTATTCTCCGAGTTATTTTCTTTAACGCTGCTAATCATTTCACCACTGCCACTTTATTAATATCGACACATCATCGTACCCGTGGCTGTGAATTATGTGCTTGGTCTCTGACCCGATGCTTGGCTCGACTCTGAGTGCCAGTATTTTTAGTTTTAGGTTTCCCCACCGACGAAAATGTGGTTTGTGATCTGGGTAGTGATGATGTGCAGCCTAATTTTGTAGGTGCATGCCAGCATTTCGGAGAAACATATCACCTCTTCCCTGAAGATAGAGTTATAAAATTATAATATTAATATAATGATAGTAATGATATTACTAGATATTTTGTGTTAATATAATTATCGTAAACAGTTGTGTAAGCATATAACAAATGTATAAATGTTGTTAGCCTTTGATGATGCTTAAGTATAGCAAAAGCGTGTTGAAAAAGTTTAGAAATATTATTTTCCAATTATGCCTACAGACATGGCGAATGTGCGAACCTTCGTGTGGACAACAGGCAAAGCACGTTCTTAAGAAATCTCGATTATTAAATACAATCAGGCAATAATCCTTCCGTCATTTCTACAGGGAAAAATTACTTTCTTACTTTAGTTCTGAAGTGATATTAAGGATCGCCTTGAACGTTAATTCAATCAAATTATTCAAATATACTACTCTTGGGACTGAAATATGTTTCACAGTTGCTACGGATTCGTAAAGATTCGGCGCTATGCGGTCTTACCAGTGTTCGTGACTGCGTCCCATTGATACTCAGATTAAAACGCCAAAAATATAGTACAGTCCAAGCAAAACTCCATTTCCCTGCCAGTCGGGCTCATCTTGCTCCTTTGCACAAATATTCTGCATTTCGATAAAGAAATGGCTATCGTCATTTCAATGATCCGAATGCAGTCATCCTAATTCCTTGATTGGAGGCCTCGAATCGATCTGTTCTGCTAGCCACTGTTGATAAGACTGTTGACAGATGAGTCTGTTTTTGTATTCTTTGATTAAAAATGCCTATATTTATAGTTAAAAATAATAAATATAAAATATTAAAACCTCTAGACTCTTTGCCTAATGATGATTTACAGATGTGATCACAAGTAGATAACTGGATAAAATCTTGTCTATACTACGCCATCAAACTCAAATCTCAGATGCACTGTCCTGGCATTGACTTGAGCCACCCAAAATATATTCTTGGTTTTGCAGATTAGTTGAAACTTCATAAGTAATTGGAAATCATTGTGATAGAACGAATACGGTTATCTTCTGGATTGTAGCGCCGTGTAGTCTAACCCAGAAGGCAACCATCTTCGTACTCACCGCCGTGAGAACTTCAAATCCTACACTGAGAGAAATTCAAGGGAAGATGAAATGATGGTGGGTAATCCTGAGGGTAACCCTGCCAATTCCGGTCTTCTTCCAGTGAAGATGCAGCACAAATCTAAAATGAAGCTGTGGAGGAAAAATGAACAGGTCATTTGTATCTACAGCTATAAGCTAAAGTTATTTTTGGACTCGTGTTTTTTTACAAGTTCGCACGTAATATTGAAGGAACACTGCATATCTCGTGTAGTTATACGTCTTCTTTTTCACTCTTGGGGTGACCTGTTTTAAGTGGCTGTAGATTTTAGCCATTTATCAGATCAAAACATATGACGAAAGATACTGGTTAAATAATGTGTCCAGGACTCATGTCGTTCTGACTGGAAACGGGACAGTCACTTCCGGAGTTAACCGACTGATTATTAAGCTGTTTAAATATAGGCCTACCGTTATATGCAGCCTTGAAAGACACAGGAAGTAAGCTATTAACGTACGTTTTGACGAATTATCTTGGTATTTTTTCTTTGAAGTGATAGTCAAAGAACATACGCTGTAAAACTGAACCCTTATAAGATAAGGAATGCATATAAAATATTAGCGGATATTTTCACATGGAAGACTGAGAAACAGATGGAAGGATGGTAAGATGGATCTCATGGAGATGGATGGGAGTGGTCCGGGAACGCGTCCAGCGCAGGGTACGGCATTTTCAGTGTTGAACCTTGGGATTCTGCTGCCACTTTCATGCAGGTCTATATTTTCTTCAACAATTCAGCCATATTTCTTTACATTTTGTATTGAATTCTCCATATTCGAAATCACGTTTAGATTTAGGTTGAAAACTTCAATAAATCGAAACTTTCTTGTTTTTAAACATTTTCATTCGTCTAATATTGATATGTTTAAATATCAGTAACACTCGTAAGTAGTTTTAAAACCATACCAATAACCCGGAACCATTCTTAAACTAAAACACACATTTACCTCTGTGCTGAAACTTGTAAGCTACACACGTGTGTGTTGACAGTTTTTTTGGTCGTCCTGTTTCAAGTTGCAATAAACTCCCCAAGTGAATCCTGGATATAATTGAAAACGTGATGCTGTCTGTCATGTCCTTCTGGAGGAGGGGGGGTGGGTTGTTACCAGACCTGGTGATGTTACTAGGCGACGCAGAGACAGAAGGGGAGGCGGGTCCAGACCTCAGATGAGATGTCTCATCGTCCAATGGAAAGACATTCTGAGAACATAAACAAACCACGTGAGTGTTTCTTAACAGAGTCTGGGGATATTTGTACCATTCTAGATCGTAATTGAAGTTCTAAGGCAATTATATTAGCCGTTATTTCTTTAAAAGTTTTTTTTTACTTTCTTTTTTCAAACTACGTAAATGTATTTTTGTTCATGCTGCATTACCCCGTTCAATTTTGTATGGACCTAGATCTTTAATGTGATGAAAGCAGCCGAAATTTGATCAGAATCAAAAAGTTAATAAATAACTCGGAGAATGAGGGCTCAGAACAGTGACCAAGCTCTACCAATAACCGAACTTCGTGATCGAGTAGTTCCCTCTGCTACTTAGGAAGGACCCGTGTTCAAATCTTGGTACACGGACCAACTTTCCCGGCAGAAGATTTAATGTTTTTCCTTAGCCCCTCTGGCAAATATCGGGCGAATACCTTTAAAATTACATAATGACGAATTTATTCAATATATTTTACAAATAATTATTCACTATCCCTTCAATGCCCAGTGATTATTATATCTGCCACCTGCTTTATCAACCAGTAAAGCTTCATTTTGTATTTATTGGTTTAGTACGATTCTCAGTCTACAATCATTATTCTCTTGAACAGTATTAATCAGCTGATCAGTGTAGTATAGTAGTATCGTTTTCTTTGAGGTATGGACTGAATTTCAAAAATTACTTAGATGAAATTCGGATTCGAAGTGTTATTTATCCTATCATTAAACGCTACATAGTCTCGACTACTGACAGAGTCTTTAAGTGCACCTCAAACAAATAAAACCATACCCTGCCTATTTTGGTATAATTGCAAAAGATTTTCCAAGAAAAAACTATCAAATATTTTAACCTATGCAACCACATAACTTATTGAATCATTAATTTAAACTAATCCCATGAAGCAGGGTCCTCTTTCAGAAGTGCATAGTCATTTTCTAGTTAAAAAATGCCCATTACCGTGCTTATAAGTGTCTGTCCTACGTCTGTACCTTCGTATTTTATTTCTTTAAAATCCATGTTAATATCATGCTCTCGTCTACGCCTGTTTCCCTCAGTTTTTCTCTTCCTTCTTACTCAAACGGGTCTATATAGTAGCCGAAAACCAGTATTTAACTTCCCCATAACATCCCTTTTGTAGCTAGTTCTGTTAACATGCTTGTCAGCCCGTTACAACTGTGAAAATTCTTGTGCTGTAACATCGCAAATGATGTGGAGCAAAGTCTAGCAAAGAGGATGTAGTGTTTTATTCCAGCAGTTTGCTACACTGGGAGCTGTATGCTGTTATTCTGATAAAGTAGTTTGTGGGGATATAAGAACCTACTCCATGTCTGTGCTGTAATTTTATACTCCTTAATAAGACTTTGTAAGTGAAACAAGGCGATAAGCAAAGGTTACAGGTTTAAGCCAGGTGATCTTGGTGGTCATAGGTATAAAACGAGAAATCTGTGGACTCATGTTTATACAGAACGTTTCGTTATTTATGTGCACAAATTAAGCGCCTAAAGACGTATTTTGTATATCAGAACCATCCTATACAATTTTGTTACTAAGCAATCGCTTAATGTCATGCTCCCAGTTTGCGAGTTGTAAGCAACTTTAAAAACTATCATCATTTTTGACACCCCTGAAAAATAAAAAACAGGACGGGATGTTAATTCAGCCAGTTCCACCAACCGTTAAATAGTTTTATAGTAAGCAAAGGGAGAAGATTTCTCCCCGTCCAAAATCACATTTTAATCAGCTTTAGTCTGCATCTGACAAGAGGCGTTGCGTTTTTAATCACAGTCTTTTAAAAGACACGTGGTGCTACCATGTTGAGTATGATTGTACTATAGAGAACCACGTGTCCGGTCCAGCTGTTGGCAACAATGGGTCGCGTGACGTAGCGTGACGCAGCGATGACTGCGTCTATGGGAGCAAGGGGTTGGGGGAGTCGGTGGTACTACCTTGTCCCAACCACTGAGCCATCTTGTCATACCTCAGTCGATATTTGGTAGACAGTTGACGGCCATTGATACATAGAGACCCACATTTATAATATATATACATTTCATTTATTTCGGCCGTTATAACAACGACGTGACCTAAATAAAAGGCTGACCTGTGTTCAAGTTATATTTAACTGCCCCCAGGCCATTTGAGGTCAATGGTATTTTTAAGCCATTTGTGGTGTTGTAAAATTTCTTAATTTTCTGACTACTCGTCATTTCATCATTGCTCGATACACATCACCACCTCCCCAAGAAGTGAGGGAATTACTTGATTTTAAAATTACTGATTTTTTAAATATATGAAGTTAGCGTTGTGTAAAATCGAAAATAACAACACGCTTGTGCAAATTATGTCTTTGTGTTTTCTAAACCAAGCCTTGGGTAGCTTAATGAGTAGTGTCTGACTTAGGACTGGAAGACCGCTGTTCGATCCTCTTCTAGTCTCTGCGTTCCAGACCAGCTCTGGAGACCACCCACCCCCTATTCACTACGAACCGGGGTAGGGGGGCCTTCCGCGGAAGCAATGCGCGGCTGGAGCGTAACGCTGACCACTCACCCACCCTCTAGTGCCGAGGTCAAGAACAGCTGCACCTCTTCAACCCCAGACGCCAACATGGCGAGAAGCGTGGTAGCTTTATTGTGTTTTCGGATTGATAACAGCTCTTCTGCTTTATATTTGGCAGATCCTGGTTTCAAATCAAATTAAACGTATTGTAGTTTGAGAATTTTAAGCCGTAATCCAAGGGAATATTTTAAATATTGTTGATGTAGGGGCTACCCTCTGCATTTGCATACAGGGAAGTGACGGGTTGGGATACAGGATATGACAGTTTCCTTTAGGATCTGTACATATTTGTTATTTATAAGCATCTTCACATTTTATACAGCGTTATATAATCTCGGTACTTTAAAAAACGTTGATAAATAATCCAAGAACCATTTTATAATAACATGGAAGGATAAACCGAACGTAATCTTTCTCGTGGTTAAGTGGTTAAGTATTTAACTTTCTACGTGCCTCCTGTTCGTAGAAACAGTAACTTATTAACAAAAAAATAAACACTTCGTCATATAATCATTCACAGACCTCACGTGAGTTTTCAAAGTAGTGTTCTCTACATTACAACATGAAACACTGTCCACTAACTTATTTAACGACGGTCTTTAATTACTTAGGTTGTGTATAATCGAATAGTAGGGTGACTATGAATGATGAATTTGAAACGATGCATGCTGAAAAAAATAACGAAAGCTCTCGGTCAGGATAGCTGGTTTTTGGGGTTCAGAATCGGAACTGAGACTTTCTAAATACAGAGCTCCGGTTTGCCTTCATTGATCATCATTACGTAGTTAGTGACATCTGCTGCTGACACCGTCAACTTTCATGTCCGTTCTTCGGTGAGTGACGTTAATTGGCAGTTAAAATACAGTAGTGGGTGAAATGTCGTTTAATGAATGGATATATGAAGGGAAGTGAGACTTGATGAGCTTCGCTAGTTACTCTTAAAATCACACGACGAATGTCTGAGGATTACTCAGGAAATTTGAGAAACTTAAAATAAAACTGCATTACTTGTAGAATATTTACCCTTGTCCAAGACCATGTAAACGAGAGAACAGTTAATTGTATTCTATATTGAATCGGTCAGTATATAAATAGTTAAAATTATATAATTTCACTTACAATAATTTAATGTTCCACGATCTAATTACTATTTAATTAGATGGCCATGAAGAATAAAATAGACCATAAGACTGATTATGAACAGTAGACGAAAGGCATGAAACATTACCATCCAAACACCGATTAAAACTACCGAAAACTGTAAAATACTACCTCTGATGTTTATTTGGTAGGTAGTGGTTCAAATCTTGGTTACAGACGTGGATGATGTGACTGTCGTATCTTACAGGATATTTGTTGCAAGTTTTGATAAAAATTGTTACAATTTCTGGAGAATGCATTGAAAAATGTGAATTAATGCTTGTTAAGATTTCCAAAAATATACTGTCTATATTAGATCCCATATGAAAAAATGTGCTATATTTCAGAAATGATGATAAATTTTGTGTTTGGGTCATATAGACGCTGCCACAACGCATAATGTAATCTGGCGTCTTTTTGCATTTACCGCAGATTATTACGTCTTCACTTGGGTATAAAATTTTGTTAAGAAATAAAAATACAACCGACGTTTCGGAAGAACCTGTCTCCTCCTTCAGCTTGGCGAGATATCGACAAGTTGGTACACTCCAAAAAGGACGCATTGGACAGAATGACAGGTTCAAGCCCAGAGCTTTCACCTAGGTGCTGAAATGTGTTAAAAAGCTAATCAAATCTCAGAGATAATGAGAGAGCCGCTTGCCGTATGGTATACCTGCAACGGCTAGCAGCAGTAGAGAATCTTTTGCATCTGTTTCAAAAGTATCCACTACCTGTAGTTCCTTAACAATATGTGTGATTTTCAGTTGATGTTCTCGGCAGTGCAAACATGTATTGGACTTTGCTAGAAATTTTGGTCTTGCGTTGTGTAGATGTTGGATCGATCAACTGTACTTGCTGCGCCTGAATGGCTTCTACCCGCTGAACTAGGCCGTGCTGTTATGCAGTCTGCATACCGCAGTAAGAGACTGGTAGTTACGTGACTTTGATAATGCAGTTCACTCTCCACGTCCACACGTTACACTGCCAGGCCTTCAAATAACACGGTGTAAGCCGAGCCACAAACATGTCGCATATTGATGTCATAATTCGAGAGTTTAAATGTACTAAATAAAATATTGAGTTCCGTTAAAGGCGAAGTTACTGGTAACCTAGCAGCTATTACATTCATAAAATTAACTCTACTTCTTGGATTTAGTTATGTGTATTAAAGGCAGTTTAGTACAGTAATTGTATTTTAATGGGTCCTTATTAAATCACACGAAAGTGAAGTTTAAATTTACGTTATGTTTACCGTCAAGACGAATCGTGTGATAGCGAAAGTAATTCTGATTACTTTA